TTTTGAAATTTTTTAGTGCAATTATTAATAATTTTCTTAATTAAAACTTTAGAATAACTTTATTTTAATATATCATTGTAAAAATTATTCGATTTGATCAATTTGATTTGATTTGATTTGATTTGATTTGATTTGATTTGACAAATATTTGATTCAATTCAAATTGCTTAAGTATTTAATTCGATTCGATTTTGAGAAACCCTATATATCAGTGTAACTGATCAATTTATCAATCTGTGCAACCTTACCTATTATTTATATCAAATTCTCCAGTTTTACGAAAAAAATTTCTTTCCCATTTATCCATCCATCGTACAATATGAATATATCTAATATTGCATCATCTGGAATGTTTATTAATCTTTGGTGTATCATTTGTGAAAATCGTTCTATTTTCAAAATTACTATTAAAACAGGCAACGATCTTATTGACCTTAGAAAAGTCATCAAGAATGAAAAACCAAATTATTTTGCTAATGTTGATGCTGACAAACTAATTCTATGGAGAACCAATATTGCTTCGAATATACTTAGAAATAAAGAAACTGCTATTAAACCTAACTTAAACAAAAAATTAGAAGATACAACCGATACAGTTGGAAATATATTTCAAAACATTGTAGGAAATAATATTCAAGTTATTGTTGATGTTTCCATTACTAGTGAGAAATAACTTTTTTTTTCATCTTCTCTCGTTCACACTGTATCATATTCGCTAATAATACTTATATATTCTTGTGTTTCTTCTCGTCAAACCCGTCCAAAAAACACATTCATATTATCGTAATGCAATCCGTTGCTGGTAAATGAGTCATAATAAATTTAGTTAATACAAGAGAATACGTCCTGGCTTGATCTTCCATCTAAATATTTCTAATAATGTTTTGAATTTTTTCTTACATAAGTGAAGTAAATTTTTCTGATAGAATATTTTAATTGAATTTAATAATATCCTAATTTTTTTGTCTTATTCACGGAAACAGAAGATCTTAAGAGGCATTTTGATGAAATCGCAGAAAGACTTGACCATAAAATAGATGGGATGAGTCATGAAATGAAGAAAGTATGACTTCATAGTGAGGTAATGTGGTATAATGCTCCTGGTATGTCATTTTTTTCTGGTACATCCAATCTATAATCTGAACCATTATCATTTCCTATAAATACCATTTAATATTTTTACTAGGTACTGAAACAGAAACTGACAAGGGTATCTTTGTAGGATCACGAGGTACTGAAATTAAGTTTTCACTTAAACTGACTATGACTACCCAAAGAAGAATATACAGAAAGTTTAAAAACCCACCTATCCCTGACGTCCCAGAAAAAAAATTGCAAGAATATTTTATTAATGAATGCAAACCATTACAAATATCCAAAGATTCAAAACTTGTGGTTGAAGACATACATTCTTTTCCTCTACTGGCTACTCAAAAACTGGACTTTGTATTCATTGCTAAAGATAATCCTCTAGATGCATTGTGTGTTGTAGCTATTGAAGAAATAAGGAAATGATCTGGCAATCATTTCACTAATGCAGATATTGGACACGCCATATCATTTGGTGAAAAGGTCCTCTAACTCCAGCCTCAGTAAGCCTATATATACGTGATTTTAACAGATTGCAGATTTATTTACATTTATAAAGTGATTAAGCGCAACTCTAATAATAGTGACAATATCTGATTCTCGTATGAATACACATTACCTGCAAATTTAAACTATGAGTTCAGTACTTACTTACTAGCTAGGTGGAAGTATCTAGTAATGATTATGGAATGTGATCTGGAAAAACTTGGATAGGTTGAACTATCATTGAAATTCAACTCAGATACTGTGAAGCTTGTTCGATCTATTAATACAGGTAGAACTAGCAATGTGTATGAGGGAAAACTTAATAACAAGGATTCGGTAGTTGTAAAATTGGCGAAAGAGAAAAATTATTCGCCTTGTTTTGAAAGAGAAAAAGATGTGCTAATAAATTTTAATTCGCCTCATATTCCATCGCTTCTCCTGTATGATAAAGACTCCCTTGTCACAACTCCTCTAGGTACGAAAGTCAAAAATTTGCAAAAGAGGGATGTCAGAAATATCATTGAAACCTTGAGAATGGTACATTCAAGAAATATTGTGCATATGGATCTTTGGAGATATAACTTTATTCGTGATCATGATGAAAAAATAATTATTATTGATTGGGAATATAGTGCAACAAAAATGAAACTGGTAATTTTGCTGGAGCACTCGAGTGTATGCCCAATGATATCTTACAATCATTGGTCAATGGTGAACAAATTTTATACTCACCAAGTATTGATCTAATATGTTTGGTAAGGTTATTTTACTTAATGCTTCACAAACCAGCAAATGTAGCAATGGAGAGAATTTCCTTTGACGAGATTTCTGACTTCAAATCACGGGCAAAAAATGTGTTGACTTTTTGGTCCTCTCGTGGTAAATCAGATTTATGGCAAAAAATCTATCAAATGGTGAAAGACTTGAATTATGACGATTCAATTATAGAACTTAAAGGATTATTTTTAATATTTGATGCAAAGTGAAATGGTTAAGGTGAGTAAAATTATAGCTTGACATTTGCAATTTATTTTTCAATCTCATACGTATTGTTGCATATTTTATTATTATATTCAGTTTGCTTATTCGTTCTTTAATAAAAAATGTATATATGTAAACTTATAAAATCAATTAATGAAGTTGTGATGAAATACATACTGACCTTTTTTGTTTTTTCTGTGACATCTTAGAATGTGCTTCATAAGAAATGTTTACTGTGTCACAAATCATAATGACGTTGTAACCCTAGATGTAGTCGTTATGTATCTGTCCCACATATATGAATATCAATAAAGTTTTACCATAGTTTGAGCATTTATTTTTTACATATATGAATAAGAGATGCGTAATGTATCAGCACATTTTACTGCGCCCTGTTGACATAATCAGCAATTAAAAATAAACACTGTGCTATGAGTTATGTGTACAGCTCAAATGTGTGTCAAGTTATACCGATTATATGGCTTAAAGAATGTGATGCATTTTTCAAAAAAACATCCAAGTCAAATTTTACTGCAAAAACCCAACAAGCCGCTTAAGTAAACTAGCAAGCAGTATGAGCAAAATACGTCTACATATATAATATTTAGGTCTAAATATAATGTTTATTAAGGTTTGGTTTCGAAAGAAAAAAAATTCGTAAAAAATTATCTGTGATGCAAGTGCCGATCATCATATCAATCATTTCCAAAAAAGTAATTTTTTCAGCATAACCTGACACACATTTGAGATATGCGAGTTATGTCAGTTATGACATTTCTTTTTTTAGCTATACAGAATCTGATTGGTCAATCATCTCGTAATTTATAGAAACTCAGAACTCGTCTATTGTCTGGTATCGTCTAATCACGGTAAATTTTATAAACTATGTTTGGTCTGTTATTAAAAAATAAATACTAACATTTTAAATAAAATTTCTTCATTTTTATGTTATTTGTAATCTGTAATTTAAATTAATAAAGAGATTTTTACAATCCGATTACTAATTTGAGAGGAATAAGAATTTATTTCTAATATATATCATGAAATTTGACACCTGAAGTAAATAAATATGATTGGTCAATCTTACATTACTTAATCACGTGTATTTCGCAAAAGTCAGCATTTTTTTGAACTAAACTATATTGAGATTAACTTTTGATTTAAATAAAGTTTTAATCTTTTTTTTAACAGCTTTCTTTTTGTATGGCATTAACTTTAAATACTTTAGCACTACTTTTTTTTTCAATGTTTAATGAAAAAAATGACACAGGCTCCTAATTTTTGCTTTTTAAATTTTATTAGTGCATAATTTGCATACCTTTTATAAAAAGGAGTGAGAAAAAAAATGTAAACTTCATCCATGAGATGATAGAACGTCAGTCAAAGCAAAAAAAACATTTAAAACAAATATCTTCAAAGAATAAGCTGATTATCATTGAAGATTCTCTATTTGAAGAGGATTTGTCATCTGATTCTGAAATATCTTCTGATGATGAGATTATGTGAGCAGATTCTGAACTTGATAATGAACCTGAAAATACATTAAAAAAGCTGCTTTCCAGTACAAAAAATATCAAACCTAAACGATCACTTCAATATATAGGTAATACTATCTGAACTCAAAAAGATGCAAAGCAGCTGCAAAAAAAATGGCCATACAAAATGGCAATAATTTTTTTTCTCCTATACAAAATGAACCTAACATACAAACGGATGATGCTTGTTTAAATGAATTGAAAAGTCATAATGATATTGATTCATCATCCACAAAGCCAGAAATAGAAAGTGATTTTGATAATAAAATTGAATTAATAAAGTTAATTCCGTTTATAAAAAAAAACTTCAAGATAAGATTCTATTACCGTAATAAAAATGGTGATTAGAAGCTGTACTTCAATATTGTCGATACTGTCAATTAAATATCAAAAAAATGAAAGCCAGCCTTTTTGTTGCATAACAATTAGGTAAAAATAAATATTTTACTCGTCAACTTCGAAAGTGGACTCGTATGTTAGCACAAAATCAAAAAATTCCTGTTTCAATATATGGGAAACATATTAAAGTCAAAAGTCTTCTTGATGATGAAGACATACGTCATAAAATTGTTAACATTTATGTATAAATAAATTTGAATTTTATTTATCAGATTTTATTAATTATATATCAAATTATATATTTTTAAAATTAGACATTGAACGTAAAACTAAATCGCGTATGTAATATTTTTTTAATTATTAAACTTTTATATTAAGATATATTTTTAATTACTTTTTTTATTTAATTAGAAAAAGTACAGCTTGACGTTGGCTTTATAAGATGGGTTTTCAATATAAAAGGTATCATAAAGGATTATATATTGATAGACATAAAAGAGCTGATATTATTGAATATCATCAACAATTTCTTACTAAAATGACAGAGTATGCTTATATTTTATTTATTTATTTATTTTTATTTATAATAAAATAATTAAAATAATAAAATTTTTTTAATAGATATGAAAAGTTAATGCCATTCTTTGAAAGAAATGATTTAGAAATTCAAATAAATCCTGTCCTTAATGAAATGAATAAACCTCATATTTTTATTACTCATGATGAAACATTGTTTCATGCTAATGATGGTTGAAAATCTGGATGGGGTCCTAATACTAAACAGTCACTTCGAAAAAAAGGACAAGGTCGAGCAATTCATATTAGTGATTTTTTATGTGAAACTATCAGAAGACTTAAACTTAATGAAGAACAAATAAATACTATTGGTAATAACTTTCCATATGAAGCAAGAATAATAATACATCCTGGAAAAAATTATGATGGTTATTGGAATATTGAACAATTGATTAAGCAGGTATGTAATTATATATTATTTTTAAAAAATATCATTTTTTATTAATTAAATTTACATATATAGATTGTTGAAAAAGTAATTCTATTTTCAAAATAACACATTCCAGAGCTATTGCTATATTTGCTTTTGATAATTCTTCTTCACATGATGCTTATGCATCAAATGCATTTAATGTAAAAGCAATGAATGTAAGTTCTAGTGGAAAACAACCAAAAATGCGTGATATAGTTTTTAATGGTTAAGTACAACATATGGTATTTTCAAATGATTATCCAAATCTTGAATTACGAGAAAAACCAAAAGGAATAAAAGCAATTCTTTAAGAAAGAGGATTATGGAATGAAAAATTAATTGGCTTTTGCAAAAATAATACATCTGTAGAAAATTGTGTATGTAACATATTTTAGAATAACAAGATGATTTTTGTAACCAATCTTGTTTAATTTGTGAAACAATCGAAAATTTGGGTCATAAAGTTATTTTTTATCCTAAATTTTATTGTGAATTCAACTTTATTGAGATTTATTGGGAAGATGCAAAATGATATACAAGAAGAAAATGTGATTATACTTGGCGAGATTTGCAAAAGATTGTACTGGAAGCATTAGATTCAATTTCTTTAAAACAAATTTGAGGTTATGCATAAAAGTCTTTTAGATATATAGATGCTTATAGAAAAGGATTTAATACAAAGCAAGTAGAATATGCAGTTAAAAAGTATAAAAGACATCGTATTATTCCTCAATCAATTTTTGAAGAATTATCTTAAATTAATTTAATAAAGTATAAATATCAATCGCATATCATGTGATCTATATATAAATTTATAAATTTGGCACTTTTTAGTCACATGATTTTATATGTTTATATGTAATTAGTAAATTTGATACTAAAAAAAATTTACCGTAACTAGACGATATAAGCCAATAAAACTATCGAGGAACTGGCAGAGATTATATGTAATACAAATTTTAGCTAAAGGCGCTGTGCATAATTTAGCTGAATCAAAAATATGAATCTGTTTTCATTTGAACAATCAAATAAAAATGAATTTAATATATAATAGTGCTAAATCAGCTAAAATTACTAAAATCAATAAAATCCTTATAAACAGTTATATTATAAATATGGATTTAGATAGTAAAGCCTATTCTAAACTTCATTCAGTTAGTCTTGGTAATGGAAAGTTTGAAGTATATTTAATGCAATAGCCCTTTTATCAGATAGATATGATCATGAAACACTAGAAATGTGATACTTTCAAATTCGTGATCCATTTAGGAAAATTCTTCTTTTATCTACAATCGAATTTCTCATTCATAAACAAAACTGATAATAGTTCTATATTTAGAATCAAAGGATAAAATTCTGCTACAAAACATCATTTCATAGAAAAAAAATTGGATTTGCTCTCTATAGCATAAATCAATATTATTTTTAGATCAATTCATTTGTGATGGTATTTTCTTATTAAATTTTAGGGACTTAGATATTCAAATTAATAATGATCACTACATAGTCAAAGACAGTTACCCAGAATGGTTTTCTCATAAAACATTATCTCCCCTGAAATCAAATAAGGTTTCTGATTGGATTGCTCTCTGAATCCTATCTGAAACAAATTTCTATAATTTACCTTATTCAGGACAGACTATTTTTGGAAAATCATATAAATCTTCACTTTTTTCAGATAAAATTTTATTACAACACTATGTTCCTATTAACCTTACATCAGATTCTCGCTCACCATCAAAAAAACAAAACATCCTGATGACTTGTATTAGATGTACTTTTTACAATACTTTACAATATGCATATCTTCCTATCGCTACTTAACGTTTACTTTAATTACAGTATAAGCGACTTATATACTTCTTAATCAATTTAAATACATTCTAAAAGATGAAATAATACTTACCTTTTATACTGATGGTTTCCACAAATTTATTCCTTACTTCACTTCTACACTCTCCTATTTGAGTTCAGCCTTTTTTCTTGTTTATAATCATTTTAATATAGAATTAATTACTGCTATTTTCTGTTATTAGGCTAACTCTACTAAACAGAAATTTTTGCTTTATATTTAGTTTTACCAATCTGCCTTTCTAACTCTGAGATTAACGTTTGTATAGATAATTTATCACTTATTCATTCA